CATTCCGCCATTTTGTAATATTATTTTATGAAAAAATTTTTACAAGTACTTCAATATATGCTTATTAACTTCACGGAGTATTAATACTTTATTTCATTTCCTTCCATTAAAAAAAAAATGTCGAAAAAGTGCAATTTTTTGGGCCGTTACAGTGGTGTTACCCCTTAAGGTTACACATACGCTACAACTTCGAATTATAGAGACAGCGACAATAGAAGTTTGACTTATAGAGGTGAACTTCGATTTGTAGAGGTCTGGCTATTTTAAATTCGAGTTACAGAGGTAAAATAATACATCTAAATATCTGACAATTAATTCGAGTTAAAGTGGGTTTTATTTCAATTTATAAAGATTTTTTGCAGCGGAGCGGAAGAAAATGAATAAAATTTTTGTCTTATATAGATTTTCGAATTATCGACTGTATTAATAATTAATATAGTCACGCTAAGTATAATTGAACGAAACACAAGGATTTTTTTAAATTTCAATTTTATATAATGTACATAAAAATATATAATATAGAAAATATTGATGTCTCAAACATACTCGGAAACTATTTTTCTGTTACAATTTTCACGGCGACAAATGGACAAGTCACCTTACTCGCGTCTAAAAATATCGCGCAGCTGGTTATAAGACATTTCTTCTTAAAAAATAGTGTCTATAAATTCACACAAAAGACCAGTTACGCGATAACATCGGGAATAAAAACTAAAAAAAAAGAAAAGGATAAAATGTAGCTCTGTTGGTCTCTGGAGAATTTTGATGAAATGTGCTTAAACGATGTATCGTGCGTCATAAGATTTTTATAGTTGATTGAAACTGAACTTTTGGGAGTCATTATTTCCGGGCATGGGTATCCATGATCTTCAGCGGCTGAGATCTATTCTAAACTCTTAAAGGAAAAACAATATCTGTAAAAGAAATTCGAAGAGAGCCGCTGCGCGCCATTTACTGCCGAGTCAGTACTTAGTGGCGCGGCCCTATAGTCAACCTGACAATGCAACACGATTGCATCCATTCAGATACACGCCCCGGTAGCGATGGCTGCGATCCAATTATCGGCCTGTAAGTTTCAATCAGTTC